AGGCTGCGGCTGCCACGGTCACCGTCACCTCAGACCGCATCCCAGTGCCCCTGAGTCTGTTTCAGGGCTGTTAGGAGGAGGCGTGGGCAAGTTTACACCATCAAGGGAAGACTGGGCAGGCAGAGCCGGGCAGCCTGGGACCCAGTCCCACCGCCTGGCGGCCTCGGATCTGCCACGGACCCCAGTGAGGGCTGCAGGCATCCAAGCACCAGCTGAGGCAGGGAGGGGGTGCCTGCCAGGATGCCACGAGGAGACGCTGGGGGGCCTGGTCTTTCACGGTGGCAGCTGGGACATTCTGCCACGGTAACTCGCAGGACTGCTGCAGCGCAGGGGCTTGCTGCACGGGGGCGGGAGACGCTGCCCACCCCTGGCAGAGGGAGGCCTTACCCGGGACAGCTCAGCCAGGACGGAGTTCATCTCCTGGTCGCTGGCTGGGACGGTCTGCCTGATGTCTGCATAGTACCTGCCAAGGAGCCGGGGTGCGGCAGCTGCTGGGTGGGCGGGCCCACCCCTGTCCCCGACCAGGGCCCACCCGCTCCCCTGGCAGTCCCCTTCCGTCCCCAGTACCTTTCCACCATCCGCTTGTACCGGGGAATATCCCGAGCGTACAGAAGCTTGTTGATGGGGGAGTCCTGGCGCCAGCAGGGGGCAGTGCAGGAGGAAGGATAAGCACCCAGGCAGGTGACCCAGGGTCCCCACTGCCCCAGGGCCCCGGCTGCCGGGCACTGCTCCCACTGAAAACCAGAGGCCTCATCTCCCAGGCACCCCTCACCCCCTAAACCATGTGGCCAGCCCACTTCCTTCTGCAGGCATGTCCCCCCCTGGTCACCCGACCCTTCCATTATCCTGGGGTCTTTCCTCAGCTCCACTGCAGCGGCAAGGTGCCGGCTCCTGGGGCGTTCATTCCCCGTGGACTCGTTGGTAAAATCAGCAAACGAGGGCCCAGAAAATGAGCCATTGCCCCAGACCACCTCACTCGGGTCTGCTCCAACACTGTTCTGTTTTGTCTTGTTTTGCTTTAAATTTTTTATCGTAGGAAGCGTGCACTCACTAGAGAGAGAAATCACTTCCCTCCACCACCAGGGGTGGCCGCGCTGCAATCCCGTCTCTTCTGTTCTCTAGGGATTGGGGGCACACACATGCACTCGGCATGTCTCACTGGGCCGCCCCGTACAGGACTCAAAGCGCAGTGGGCCATGTGGGAGCCAGCACCTTAACCACCACGCCTCCTGCTGGCCCGACTTCCCCGACTTCAACCTGCCCCACAGGACCTCGCCCAGCACACCAGGTTCTCACCCCAAGGCCGTGGGCTCTGGCTGGGGACCTCTGCCTCGCCCGGAGGCTGCTGAGAAGGCGAGGAGGCCCCTGAGGTGGCACTGCCCCCACGAAAGCAGACCTGAGTGGCCAAGCGCTTTCTCGTCAGCTCCGTGGGGGACCCTGGGCGTCCCCGGTTTGGACCATTCCTAACTATCTGGAACTGTGTGCTGTTCCCCTGGGAAGGGGAGGCGGGGTGATCTGGCGAAAACCCCAGCTACCACCCCTGGGTTCTGGTGTGGCCCTGGGAGTCTCAGCTCAGCACAGGCAGACGAGAGCCCTCAGAGCAGGACGGTTTCCAAAGACAGCACTACAGGGGAACCTCCCATTGAGCTTCTCCACAAAGGTCGAGAGATGTCCTTAGGGGGTCACGGGCCAGCTGGGGGCCAGGGTCTGGGCAGGGACCTGCAGAGCCCTGAGGCCCTGGGCGGCCGCACCTGGGCCCTCATATGTCAGGGACCCTTGGCCTAGGTCACCCCGATAACACCCCACCTAATCCTGGCTAGCCGGCCCAGGCCTGTTCTCAGCTCCCGGCTCCTCCTCAAAGCCCTGGAAGCTCATCCCGCTACTCCCAACAGGCAGGCCCTCTCCCAAGGAATCAAACCCGCCCCACACCTGTGCTGCCCTGGAGGGGGAGCCCACCTGGGGTCCCCAGGAACACCTCAGGCTCCAGGCCTGAGCTCACCACAGCCAGAGGCGCTGGACCTCATGAGACCCCCTTCTCCTCCTGTACCCCCACACCCCACGCGTGGCTGCTGCCTGCCTGGGACCCTTTGGCCCTGCTTCGTGTGGCCCCTGCTAGTCCGGAAAACAGCATGGCTTCTTCTCTGTGCTCGCCGGCCCCAGCCCCCCCCCGAAGGACAGCCACAGGGCTGTGCTGAACCTACAGGTCCAGCACATCACCCCACTTCAAGCCTTCTAGGTTCCCCACTGCCCTCGGGGAGCCTTCATCAGGTGACGGGGGCCTGCTGCCACATCCGGCCAGCACCCGGCCACACAGGCTGCACGGAACCCTGAGAATGGGCACAGCACCCCGTTCCTCCCTCCAGGCTGTGGCGTCGCCCCATTCTAGGGATCTCCGCGGCAAAGCCTGGCCTGGGAGGCCTTCCCTGGGCCTCTTCCTCAACGTTCTCGGGAAAGCCTGGGCCCCCACCCCGCTGCCCCTGCCCGGCGCGTCACCGCCGCTCACCCGGCCCAGCTTGTGGTCCGCCAGGGTGCATGCGTCCATGAAGGTCTGCGCGATGACCAGCAACACCGCGTCCATGTTGTCGGACGTCTGCACGTCGAACACCAACTGCGGGTTTTTGATGATGTTGATCCAGAACCTCAGCGGCAAGCTGCGGGGGCAGGGCGGCCGATGAGTGCGGCGGCGGGAGCCCAGCACCACCCGCCGTCCAACCGCCCTCCCGCCCACCTGTTGGTCTTCCAGATGTGGATGGTGTCCTGGTCGGAGATGCCGTGCTGCTGCGCCTGCTCGTCCAGCAGGTCGAAGAAGTACTTGACGGCGAGTGGCACGGGGCGGCTGGTGCTGAGGATGGCCTGGAACAGGTCGTCCACGAACTTCTGCAGGGTGCCCTGCGGGGAGGCGGCAGCAGGGGGCGCCATCAGTACGGGTGGGGGGGGCTC